ACAAGTCATAGACTAGGCCTGATATACTTCCTCCAATAATTACCCCAATGACAATAATAAACAAGTATATAATCGAGTGAAAACGGTAGCTTAATCCATTAAAACATGAAAATATTTCATACTCAGAATTCAGATACAAAAATACAGTAACCAGAGATCATATCAGAAATATATAGTAAATCATATATTAGATAAATAATATTCAAAAAATCAGGTATTGTGTCGTAAAAATTTTAGTATCATTAGAAATATAAAACAGTTCAGATAAAATAATTTAAAACAGTAATGTAACACCATCAGAAAACACACTTGTATCGGTCTGAGTAGTCTTATTAGGAAGCCTACTACCAAGTCTGTCGATCACGATCAGCGACAACACTAGATCCTATGAATTGAAAATTTTATATCATATTCCTAATATGAATAATAATAATAATCTATATTTAAACAATTTACGGCAACCTACGAGTAATTCTCGAAGAATGCGGATCAAGCGGATCTTACGAATGAGAAACACTGGATCTAATTGACCCTCGGTTAGGAGAAACACGAGCACCTTCATAAAAATATATTCCTGAATTAATTCCAAATTCAAACCTTAAATAAATAAGCAAAAATGCTAAAAATACTATGTATTTTCGGGTTAACGAGCTCAATTCGAGGCTTTTGGATTAGAATTTGGCAAAACGAATCGCAAATTCATATTCAAGACATCGAAAAACATTAAGATGAAGGTTTTTTTGAAAATGTCGATGGTGGTCAACAGTCGGTCAACGATCGGGCAACGATCAACGGTTGACCGATTCGAATCGGATTGTGTCGGGTCGAACAGGTGGGTCAGATTGGATCGACTCGTTTCTACAACCATAAACTGGTCTAGATAGGGTCGAAATACCCGATTCATCAGTACCATAAAAATAATATGGGTATTAATTAACCCGAATGGCATCACTAAAAACACGTAATACCCATATTGAGTACGAAAATCAGTATTTAAGACATTAAAATATTTCACCTTGACTTTGTTATAACCAGACCTCAAGTCTATCTTCTAGAAGATAGAAGCCCCCGAAACTGGTCAAACAAATCATCGATCCTTGGTAGAGGATATTTGTTTTTAACCATAAGCTTATTTAGTTTCCTATAATCATTACAAAATCTCAATTTACATATTTCTTCTTGACAAAGAGAATTAGGGCTCCCCACGGTGAAATACTAGGTCAAATAAATCCCATATCCAACAACTCCTAGAGTTGGGCTTTCAGTTTTTTAAGCTCCTTTGGGCCCATACGGTAAGGAGCCATTGAAACCGAGGTAAAACCGGAATAGGCTTCAATCTCAAACTTAACTTTTCTATCCGGTGGCAATCCATACAACTCTTTATGGAAACATCAGAAAATTCCTTAACGGTCTGGATGCCTTCAATGTCAGACCGGAAACTCCTAGTATCCAGAATATAAGCAAGAAATGCCTCGCAACCCTTTCTGATCATCCTCTCAGTTACCAAAACACAACATTCGTCAGGAATCCACGACGTTCCCTAATCATCACAATCGTTCAGTTATCAAGAGTCTTCAGAACAACTCTCTTAATCTCACAATCGAGATTAACTTGGTGCTTGTTCAACCAATCCATGCCAAAAATCAAGTCAAACTCTTCTAAAAGTAACTCTATCAGGTCAGCCAGAAAGATTTCCCCGTGGATCTATATTGGACACCCTCTAAATACGATCTAACTCTATATATTGATCTACAGGACTCTGAACTGTCACCGGACTCTCAGTATTCTCAGCCAAAATATTAAGGCCCCTAGAAATAGAATACGACACATAGGAATAGGTAGATCCTGTAACACCCTCAACCCGTATCCAACCCAAATACGAGTCTGGGGTGTCACATTGACTTTTCAAACTTTGACTCTTGACAAAATTCAAAGAAAATTTAAAACTTTCATTAAAATAAGATCTGTTTATTTACATAAATTGACCAAAATAACCAAAATCGATCATAGCATATTCAACTCAATCAATTAGTACATGCCAACTATGTTCAGATTAACCAAACACATTTAAATCATTTATTTTCTGATATGAAACTTTGTAAGGAAAATGCTGACTTGTCTTGCTCCTCTAAACTTCTCTTCTTGCTTTCCAGAACCTACGTGTGAAACACTCACACGCTAAGTCTATGACTTAGTGAGGCATTAAACACATTAAAGTAACTTTAACTACTTAATAATGCATGAACATATCATATCATGCTATCATACAAAACAATATAGCATTTCATGTAATCAAATGTACACATATACACATAATCATATCAATCATATAATACAATTCATATCACAAAAGCATATACTTTACATGTAATATATATGTTTATTATTATCTATTTGTTAGCCCATGTACATCTGTGAGAACTGTAGATATGTGCGTCTATTGAGGTTGTGCATTATGCTGTCACCACAGCTCGTATGGGGTTCCACTAGGGGATTTGAGATTTATCCCGAAGGACCTATGTACTGTATTTGTCCCGAAGGACCACTCCTTAAGAACCATATACGTATTTCAATGGATCACATATGGGTCTCATAAGACCCTGTAAATGTTCCAAAGAATACATATATGTCCCGAAGGACCACGTAGAACCCTTGACTCTTGGCATGCCAACTATACCTCTAGCTCTCTTTACACATAACATGGGCATTAGCAACTATCATGTCACATATTCACATGTATACTTTCATATCACGTCATATAAGCTCATAGCTTCTTTCACAGATACATATAGTCACATAGCTTCTTTTCATATTCTCATAAGATTACATAGCTTATATCTTATACTTTGTTTTCTCATGTTCACATATATACTGTCATATGGCTCATATATATACATCACATAGCACCTACTTCTCATATCATTACATTCAAAAGCATGTTAACACATATTATCATGCATACATACAATTTATGTCATGCATATACGTATAATCATATATTCATGCATTCAACTTAGGAAATAGACTTGTCACAAGTCTTGTTTCCATTTAGCACCATAAATGAATTAATATGCACTCACTTGAGCCTCACTAAGTTCCAATCCACTTTTATGATTTTTTTCCTTTCTTTCGATCGAATCTTAACTTGATGATCGTTCCGGAACTTGTTCGTGTTTGATATCTACATAATCACATATTGATACATATCAGTATCCAATTGATATACTATAATCTATCATTTCTTAGACTAAAAGAAATGTCTATTTCAATTTCCCCTTGAAGTGCATCGATGCATTCTACAGTGCATCGATGCATTCTTTAACATGTGCATCGATGCACTACCCATGCATCGATACACAAATTACCTTCGATGTTTTCATTTTAAGGGGATGCATCGATGCACTCCTTATGCATCGATGCACCAATTACATTCGATGTTTCTTCTTTAAAGAGTGCATCGATGCACATTGAATATGCATCAATACACCTTACCCAGAATTTGCATTTTAGAACTAAAATCATCAATTTTTCCCTTAATTCTTCTATTTTAAGCCTCTAATATGTCATTAAACTCAACTACCATTACTTAAACCAACTTATATCCATGTAAATCATCTTTAACCTCAAAATCCTATATTCCTTATGAAATTCAAGAATCATACTCAATTTCTAACATGTTCCAAATTCCATTCAATTGCTTCTAACTTCTTAATTAGACCCTTGACAAGTCAAATCCAACTTTAGAACTTCAAAAACCTTTCTATAAAAAAAGTCCATTTCTATACCCTTCATATAATTTCCTTTTTAATTCTCTATTCTTGATGTTTAAAGCTTATATAAGCTTTCCTTAAGCTTATATAATACTCAAAGAATCAAAATCAACTTATAAATCCAAGAATTAAACAGTTGAAATTAAACTCACTTTTGCTCAGCACGTTGGAGAAGAAGAAAGCAAGAAGAAGAAGAGTTTTCCAGATACTCCTTCCCCTCCCACGTGTTTATCTCTTCTTAAAGAGATAAAAAAATATCTTTTATGACAAATGACTACTTTGCCCTTAATTCCTTTAATAATTACTAACAACTTTCTGGAAATATTCCCAAATAAATCATTGAACTATTTCATTCTTCTACTTTAGTCACCAAATTCTGAAACTTTTCAATCTGATCACTAACCCGGTATTGAGGATGTTACAGATCCATTATCAAATAATGTTAAGCAGGGAACTGAATAAATATTAACATTACCTCAAAATCACATCAGGCTCATCGCAATTCAGTCGATGTCTAGCAACGTAAACCAACCTAAGCTGTCCGACCTCATATCTGGATGGGCCCATACTTTAAGAAGCTTGGCCTCTACTATCCAATCCTGATGCTATCTCTTGACTACGACCCCCTGCTGGAGCCTAAACTGTAGGAGCTGGTTATGGACTACGACCCCCTGTAGGAGCTAGTTCTGGATAATCCCTCAAGAGATGGTCACTAAAACCACATCTAAAATAGATACCCAACTTCTTCCTACATTCACCAAAATGACGTCTCCCACAGTGCTCACATGATGACAAAGGTTGCAACCTAAAAGAACCACCCCGACTAGAAGACGTCACAACTAATGAACTTGACGTCATAGACCTGACGTCATAGACCTGACGCTCGCACCGTCTCTCTGAAAAGACTCACCCCTGCCTCTTTTACTAGGGCGTGCAGAATAGTCAACAGAACCAGAAGGTCTCCTAAATTGGTCTCAGTCTCTATCTCTCCTGCACTCCATACCTACTAGCTCTATCCTCAGCGATCTTGGCTATCTTAACCAAGGCATCAAAGTTCCTCTCCCGGTGGGTAGCAAATCGACTCCTGATCTCATACCTGAGTCCATTATAGAATCTCAAGTACCTATCCAACTCAGTATCAAAAAGTCCAGTAGCATAGCAGTTCAATCTAATAAACTTGATCTCATAATCTATAACAAATATATCACCATGCTCCAAATTCTGAAACTTATGGCGTCGCTCCGGCAGGTATGTATCTCTGATGTAGCTGTAACACCCCAACCCATATCCGACCCGAATACGAGTCCGAGGTGTCACATTGATTTTTCAAAACTTGTCTCTTATAAAAATCATGAAAATCTAAACTTTCATTAAATAAAATTCGTTATTTTACATAAATTAAACTATTTGATTTTACAAAACCTATCAGAGCATATTCAACTCAATCTATTAGTACATGCCAACTATATTCAAAATAACAAAATACATCTAAAACATCTATTTTCCGATCTGAACTTTGTAAGTGAGATGCTAACCTATCTTGCTCTTTTTAGCTTCTCTTCTCGCTTTCCGGAACCTACGTGTGAAACACTCACATGCTAAGTCGATGACTTAGTGAGGCAAGAAACATATAATAGAACTCTAACTCGTAATCATGCATGAACAATTTCTACTAACATATTATATACAAGCATAACACCTATATATATATATGTATATATCATTTCCATACTAATTCCTAGTATGTACATTTCATATATTCTTTCTAAATTATCTAACACATTATTCATCAAAACATAAATACATACATATCCATTTCATACCAATATTATATATTCTTTTATGAAACCATTACCCATATGCACACATATCATCATTTACGTTCATAACTTTATCATCTTATTATCATACTTTTATATACGTACACATCATATTACCGAACAAACATATGACATCACATAACATTTTTCTCATATTATATATTTTTATTAGCCCATGTACATATGTGAGAACTATAGATATGTGAGTCTATTGAGGTTGTGCAGTATGCTGTGACCATAGCTCGTATGAGGTCCCACTAGGGGCATATGAATTTGTCCCGAATAACCACTATAAAATGTCCCGAAGGACCATTATGTCTTGAAGGACCACGTAGACCCTCGACTCTTGGCATGCCAAATATACATCTAGCCCTCATGACATATAACATGGGCATTATAATTTATCATTTCACATAGGCACGCAGTTTACTTTCATATGTTTCTTATCTCTTTCGATCATATAATCGTATAACTTTGTATCATATTCCACATATTCATATCACATAGCACATGTCACTTTGCATGGTTTCACATAAACATCTATATCGTATATTGTTCATATATATTTCCCATATAACCCATATCATATGATTCATATCTTATTCTTATATCATCATATATATCATTTATATTCATTCACTTAATCTCTTATGTTCATATATCACATATGCATATTATTCATTATGTCAATATCATATAATTTATGCCAATATCACATATGCTCATGTCACTTTACATGGTTTCACATAAACATCTGATACCACCAAGTGTAGCCCTCTAGACCCGACCTAGACGCTATGACCAAATATTGGCGGTTACATATCGTATTCAAAAATTCTTTTCATATGTAAAACAACTTTAAAATCCATATAACATTATAATATAAAATTAGCCATAAGAAAGATTCATACGATATGCATATATATATATATATATATATATATATATATATATATATATATATATATATATATACATACATATATCAAAAAATCGTATAAAAAATATACAAAACAAAATATCGATAATACAAATATATCAAGATAGTAGCAAAAACATGTGTCACCAGAGTATAAAAAAAGGCATATAGAGATATACAGTAGTACAAAAATAGGAATAGTCGGTCCTCTTGATGCCAAGTCTGCTAGTCTACGGTATGTTACTATCTGAAAATGTTAAAATTTACAGAATGAGATAAAAAGCCCAGTGTCCTCCTTACGGTGTAAAAAACATACAAATAAAATACATCAGTAAAAAAAGTTCATCAAACATGCTTTAAAAATATGAACACTACCCCCATTTGATCACAAAAATATGTAGGTTCCCTAAAACTATACACCCACTTGTACACTCAGTAAGGGCCTTATACATATAACATAAGGACCTACGATAAGGACTTACCATGTGCACAAAGCAAAGGAGCCTTCGGTAAGGTCTTACAGTCAATGTTCAATGGTTAACCAGTTCGGATCAGACAGGCGGGTCAGGTCGGGCAGGTGGGTCGAATCGGGTCAACCCTTTTCTAGAAGCCCACTAGGCGGTGGATTTTCCCCATGAGCAGCGGTGGCGCGTGGGGGCACATGCAAGGCCGAGTGTCGGAAAGAATTATGAAAAAAATTTATATATGCATTTTAAAGGGTTTTGAGACACTTACCAAGCTCGGTTTACAGCGGTGAACGGCGGAGAGCTCAATTTCACAACGTCAGAAACTTGATCTTTCTCACCCCTTATACGTCAGTGGTAACGGAGAGAAGATAGACACCGATGGACTCGGGACGACATAAGGAACACGATGGTGTGAGAGGTGTTTAAAATGGAACAACGGTCGGCGACAAAACATTGGTTAAAGATTTCCTACTAAAAGAGGAAATATTGAAAAAAATAGAGGAGAAGGTTTTAAAGTTTCTAGAAATGGAAATTTATAGTTTTTTTTCTTTTAAAACCACATTTAGGGAAAAAATGGTATAATTACACTATATATCCTCCATTTTTAGTTTCTTTTTTAATTTAGATTCAAATTTAATCAAAATTTCACTATAGTCCCTAAATTTAATTAAAGTTTTAATTTAGTCCTCGAAATAAATTTTAAGAAAAATTTTAGGTCCTAATTTGAGGTGTGACAAGAACACTTGAAGAAGATTACTACACTTATACAAGCTTAAAGATCAAGATAAAAAAGTCTTTATTCTTAGTTCATTTATTTTTCTCTTGTGCATAGTGTATTGAGCTTTATTGAATATCTTTTTATGCATTTATAGTGAGTTGAAATCTATTTAAACACCTACCCAGAGAAGTCTTATTGTTTACATATAGTAAACCTTGTGAAAATGGAAAAGATTGTACTTTAGCATTTGAAAAAACTCGAGAGATATAAAGGTTACACCTTATTCTTGAAATGTAAGAATAAATTAGTGAATTTGTTAAAAATCCATAGTATAGATGCTAAGGTAGTGGATGTAAAATTGGTTTAGATGTCGAACCACTATAAATCGTTATGCAAATTATCTATTTTTAATTGCTTCCATATGAAGAATTTTTAAAGGCCAATTTACCCCCTTTTAACTTATTTTAGTTGATTCATAGAGCCTCATAAATCTCATTAGATCAATGCTAACGGTGATCGGATTATCATAGTGGCGTACGATGACAATAGTATCAATGTTAAATCTACGAAGTTTGGGATATTTTTCAGTTAAACGAACTAGAAAGGTTTGTGGAGTGTGTTTAGTAAAAGCAGGACGCAAAATATGTTGCTTATGCACTACTAACACTCATGAGAGGAGTTTCTGGCTAGAAAGACATGTGATGTTGCTTGTGTTGTCCTCGTTTTCACCTTTCTTTTCTTCATTGTATGTTTCTTTTTCTTTTTTTTGGACGTTGACGATTCACTTCTTATGAATTGAATAAAGAGTTGTGACCGACGAGAGAACGTCCATTGGCTAATCTTTTTCTATATGAGTGAACTAATTATAAAGAAGAAGAATATGACTATTTATAATAATTTCATTATGATGGTGTTAGAAATATGATAATTATAATTAGGGTAAAGTATAGTAATTGTCACTAAACTTTTCTAAAGCTTTCATTTAGGTCCCCTAACTTTTAAAACTTACAATACAGTCCCTCAACATTTAGTTCATTTATAATATGGTCCCTAATAGTTATTTCGGGGAATATATTGCAAACAAACTAAATATTGGGGGATTATATTACAAACAGACTAAATGTTGGGGGACTGTATTGCAAGTTTTAAAAGTTGGGGGACCTAAATGAAAGCTTTAGAAAAGTTTAGTGACCATTATTATACTTTACCCTATGTTTTATTAATGTGTGAAAATTATTCAGTAATAGTATTATTCCATGGTGGTCGAAGGGAAGCATCATCGTTTTCATACAAGAGAAATGGTAGAAATACACATTGCAACACTTTTAAGCCAGCTAAAAAACATATGTGCTTTACTAGTGTGCTATAGTTTTCAAGCTTTACTAATAGACTGGCTTATGCTTAACCGATAATTGCAGCATTGATCTTAATTTGTTTTCCCATTAATTGATGTCCTTTATGAATTATTTTGTTTGATAAGGTGGCTGATGTCAAGAAAGCTGTTGGAGTTGGAAAAGAGAATGATTGTAGTGCAAGTGCGATACGTCAAGAATTAATGAGACTGCCAAATTCTCAGCAACCAGATATGCTCGACAACTATATTGCAAAAAATACTGATGACTTTATAGCATCGGAATCAGATAGACAAGCGTTTCTTATAAAGTAGGGTTTTCTCGATTTGCTCTTTATTCGTTTCTTATTTATTAGTTCTCGATGTGCTCTCTTATCTGATTTTGCTAGTTTTCTTATTGTCATCAACTTGTGGTTGTAAGCAGCAGGAAGAGGAGTTAGAGGAGCTTAGCGTAAGTGTCCAGAGAATCGGAGGCGTTGGGCTTACTATACACAAAGAACTCCTTGCACAGGTGAGTACACTACAACAAAACTGTTCTACAGCGGCGTTTTGGGAGTAAACGCCATGAATTTTAAACATATTGTGGTGTTTACATAGCAAACGCCATAAAATGGTAACTTTTGCGGCGTTTTTTCTTTAAAACGCCGATATAGAGTAGTACTTTAGCGGCATTTTTATACAAACGCCGCAATAGGTTCATTTATAGTGGCTTTTTTTCAACAAACGCCACAACAGAGTAGTACTTTAGTGGCATTTTTATATAAACACCGCTATAGACTCGTACTTTAGTGGCGTTTTTATACAAACATCGCTATAGACTAATACTTTAGTGGTATTTTTATATAAACGTCGTTATATAATTGTACTTTAGTGGCATTTGTGTTTATAAACGCCGCTAAAGACTTGTAATTTAGTGGCGTTTATATACAAACGCCGCTATACACTTGTACTTTGGTGGCGTTTTATACAAACACCGCAAATTTATAATTTTGAAGTGTCGCGCCCTTTAATCTTTTTTCATTTTTCCCCTTTCACCCATTTTTCTATCCCGCCTTTTACCCAAACCCATATGTTTCACTACCAAACCCCAAACCCATCTATGTCACTACCATTTTTTATGATATCTCTGATTTTGATTCCCTTATCCACATTTCCCCCAACTTTCAAATCCTCGTTTTTCATTCTGCGAAATTTATCGTTACACCGTCACCAGTCGTTGTTGTTCTTTTGATTTTGATTTTGATTTCGTGGCTTTGGGTTTTGCTTTGGACTTTGGTTTTATCAGTGCAAGGTCGCCCTTTGCTTTGCTGTTTATTTCTCACTGCTATAAATAACGACTCTCTTTGCTCATTTCTTTTTCCATTTCCATTTAGTTTTAAAGAAGGAAGAATCAGGAGAGACAAATGAAGTACGTGTTTATTCACCCCCACCGAGTCGGTTATGAGCGCAACTTCTACAATGAGTTTTGCTTAAGCAGTCTCCGTGTCGACATGGTCGAGCTTGGTTTCGTTTCCTGCACTTTTAAAGTCCCTCATCGCCTCATCGTAAGCTGTCCCTAATAAAACCCTATCTCAAATTCCCTGGAATTAGAATTCTATCAGATTTGGCTTCATTTCTTTCAATAAAGTAGTATCGTTTTGTTCCAAAAAAGAATAGAAGAAAATGAAGCGTCGGTTCTCTCTTTCAAAACTAGTACGATGATCTTATCTAGTAATGAGCAAACTGATTAGATTGTTTCAGTTGGGGTTTTCATAGTTGGAATCTTATCTAGTAAGACTAAAACTTCAAATAGAACATTATGGATATTGGCTTTTGAATTATCAGCTTGTTGTCCATCATTCAGCATTATGCATATTTACCTGTTCATACTTATTGCTTGACAATACCACTTTGTTATAATTTCGTATTCTTGATGATGCAAAGCTCTGTAGAGAAGGAGAGAGCTTACTATGCATCTATGATCTATATAAATATACATGCTTACTTTTCAACATGTTTATTTTGTAATTATTTGTCTTTACAGATTTTGCTACTTCGAGCAATTCTTCAACATGGCAATCTCAGTATCCATTGCTGAAGAACTTGCTTTGTGCTCTAATTTTTTGCTAGGTATGGATCCTGGGGCATATGCTTCAGTTATGCATGATTCATTTACTTATAAGAAGGAGATGCAAAGTAAGAAGTTTGATACTTGATTTTAGAAATTTACTAATTTAAATATTGATTCGTTATCCTTATGAATTTATATTAGAATATTTATTTTTCTTAAATATTTTTTGTATTTCCTTATTCAATAATCCTAATTTATGGTCACAATGATTATAAAAGCATTAACCATTTTTCAAGTACAGACTCATCGCAGCTATTACAGGGACTGCTGGCTATGCTGGTTATCTCTCTTACAATAAGTCTTTTTTTTCTTTTGATTAAGATTGGGTCATTTGTGATTTAATTTATATTACAATTTAAATGTGGGTTTTTAATATGATTAAAAATGTATATATTTTTTAAAAAATTTATTTCGTTTTGCATAGTGTTCGTACGAGGAAGTAGATCAGAAGGCAAAGGCATTGCGGGCTGATGTAAGTTTTGCTCCTAGTGAAGATGCATCTGTTGTTGATGTATGTTTGAGTTTGTTTGGAATTTTATTATTTTTAAATGATTTTTCTCATTTTAGCTTAGTATTTGAATAATGTTGTTCTAATTGTTCAATCTTTTTTTAGTAAAATTACCTTTACAAGAAGTTGTTCTAATTGTTTACCATTTAATTCTTCAATTTGAATTTTGTAGGAATGATCTTGTGGATGGATTACTGGAGAGGCTTTAAGTAGCAAATTTCTGGTTGCTTGTCTTAAGGCATTCATATATCATGTGTTTCTTAGTGTTTGTAGGACTTTTTTTGTTTTAATCAACTGTCCTAAACCTTCTCTTACTTAAGTAGTATTTTGGTGTCTAAACTTATGTAACGTCTAGCTTGCTGTTTCAGTACCCACCGAAGATTTATTTATTTAATTTGGATGTTTGTAAACTTTGATTTTTTTATGTATTCTTACTTAATTAAAATCGTAATGAAATTTAAGATGGTTATTGGATATTGTTATAGGTTTAATTTGGGTAATACAAAATTGGAAGAAGATATGTTGAAAATCAGTTTCGATTAGCGACGTTTTAGGGGAAAACGCCACTAACACAGTGCTAGATCTGACTTTTTGCGACGTTTGTATCCAAAAATGTTGCTATAGATCTGACATTTTGCGTTGTTTGTATGCAAAAACGCCGCTATAGAACTGACCTTTTGTATCCAAAAATACCGCTATAGATCTGACCTTTTGCGACGTTTGTATCCAAAAATGCCGCTATAGATATGACCTTTTGCGGCGTTTGTTCTTAAAACGCCTCTATAGATCTCTACCTTTTGCGGCGTTTGTTCCGAAAACGCCACAATAGATCTTGACCTATTGCGGCATTTTTTGTTCTCAAACGCCACTAACTTTAGCGTCGCTGGTATTAGCGGCGCTTTTTGCGGTGTTTTTCCAATTGCCGCTATAAGACTAAAAACGCCACTAAAACTTTATTTTGCTATAGTGGTACTTACCTGTAATCTCCCCGGTTAACATATTTGTGAATGAATTGCAATTGTAGTCAGTAGATATCATCTGATATCTGCATCGGTTCAGTGTTTCAGGAGAAGATATTAGATGAGTTGGGTACCGAAATGGACAGCAGAAAAAACCAACTGGATTTTGTTCAGGTAATTTTTATCCATAATCTGCAATTAGAAATATTAAATATTCGATCTTATTTTTCCGAAACTTGAGCTGAATATGCAGCCCTTTAACTGTGTTACTTGTCTATTCTTTTAATGCCAAGAGAAAAATGGTTATTAATATGAACAAGGTTGGCGTTAACGGCCAAATAATGATAATAATATTTTTGCTAGTTCTGTTCATTCTGGTCTTCTTCGCTTAAAAAGCCGAGTTTTATGATCTTCAAACATGAACACGAACAAGATCCAACATTCTTGGAAATAACCCTCTTGGTTAGTGTCTTCTCTATTGTTGAATAAATGATGACTTGAAAATGCTGAACAGAGCAAATTTTGTGTTCTTCTGGATTTTTAAACACTTCGTAAAAGATATAGTCTTACATCATTACCTTATTCTTTACTGTTTAGTTATTTGCAAATGTGACTGTCTATGATCTTAAAGGCTTTTTTTTTCGTTTTCTTTAGTAAATATACAAGAGGGGATAGCTGAATTAATAGATTAAATTAAATTGATTTGATAAAAAAATTTGGGTTTATTCAGTTTTGACTGATTAATTCGATTTGGTTATCGATTTTAAAAATTTAAAATAAATAAATCAATTAATTTTCTTAATAAGTCTTAAAAATGATAGGGGGAAAACAATTATTTTACATAAAATCAATTTACATGTTATTTACGGTTTCTTCCATTGTACCAACTGCTAGGTTTCAAGATCGTATAAGCTACAGCCTTGAAAGTATCGTGCATACCAATGCAATTTGAAAAACAAACGCGCACCTACTTTTCCACAGCTACCAGTTTCGCTGATCAGTTTCCACATGGACGTTACTTAAGAGCCATTCCAGTCGATCCAAAGAAAAGAAACTATCACGCCATTCCAAAGGAATTACAAACGACCATAGTTGTTTGTCCGCTTTTTGTGAGTACTATAAATGGTGTGGATATGTGTGCAAGTATATACAATCGAACAAGTAATAAAGTGATGAGTGAGTATCGTTCTCCACAGGGATTGGGGGAAATCAAATAAGTTTGTCACGACACTTTACTCTGTCACCTAAGTAAAGTTAGAGATGATATATATACAAATGATGATGTTGTGGCAAAATGAATGGATGATATGGAAATGGAACGATGGCAATGTGGTAGCAGATGAATATGTTGTGGCAAAATGGATTGTGTGTAGTGCGATCAAATAAAAATGTAAAGGCAAAATAAACTGTAAATACTGGATTTGCTTATAAGAACTTTAGACTCCTCACACGACAAGCTACTATGGGAATGAGTGATGGGAGTTACCTAGGAAAATCTAAGTTCACTTCTCAGAATGGTTTTACTTCTATGCCTTAATTGCCCGACAGAGTTTACTAAGGGTGCCCTATGCTATCTCTAGTTAAGGGACTCGACAGATTGAAGATGCCTTGGCAAAATCGATTGGCGTTAGCTACTGCAGGGATCCTATTGGTCCAGATAACAGGATATGTCTCAACAATACCTTTTTTTGCGGCATCATTAACATCTAACCTATCGCTCATGCACAACTCTTTTTAGTCGAATGAAATCCTAGCCTTATCTCTAAGGTGGATTAGGCCTAGTTACTATCTAGAACCCCTTGCTTATGTGGTTCCTCCCTAGTTTCTCTCGAATACTAAGGATGTACTACTTAGATATTCTCTCGAACACTTAGTAATCACCTAAGGAATGGCTACTCCCATAGCTCCTATAACCTTAAGGCATTAAAATTCATAAGCAAAACAGATTATAACATAGAAAAACAATCATTCATTAAAGCAAATCTTAAATATCCAAAATAAACTCCCACCAAATAGGATTAGTTCATGGTGGGGTTCGAAATAAGCAAGCACAAAGCAAGTTAATCTGTTCCTTACAACCCGAATAATAAATAACGAAAGCAAAGAGCAAAGGGAAGGAGGAAAAGCCTTCGACGTGCACTGTCGGAGATTCCCTCGGCCACCACGAACAGTTCTAACGATCTAGCTCCTCTCGGATGCCTAGAATGCCACTCGCTCTAGCCTGTCAACGGAGGAATGCCACGGCAAAAATGATTGACGGTAAAAAGAGAGAGCTTTTTCTCTGAATTTTTAGGCTCTTGGTGGCTGTCTAAAAATATCCAAATCTTTTTAAAAAGTCAGGCTTCATCTTCTATTTATAGGGGAGAATGAACCTAGGGTTTTGTGTTAAAGATGGTAATTGGCCCCTCCTTTAATGCTGATTGCAGAAAGCACTTTTTTATGCAGTGACAGCTGGCTCTTACTAAAAATATTTTCTCTCGTTTTAATCGCTCTCGAAATGCCAACTGGTTCGGCATTTGCATTTTGCTCAGCAGTCTTCTTATGTCACGACATTTCCCTTTTGCTTTTCCTTGCTCCCAAATCCTGCACATCACCAGAAAAACACCTTCCCCATAAAGCATCACTGATTACAAAATAAAATGTCGTGGCAAACATAATTTCACCACATGTAACTATATGCTCCTAAATGCATCTATATGATCCTAAATGGGCTCTTAGTCAGTCAATAACTTAAGTGAAAAGGCCCCAAATATGACCTTTTTATGGAGTTATCACACCCCCAAACTTAAGCTATTGCTTGTCCTCAAGCAATGGATAGTATTAATCAAAATAAAAATACCCTGGCAAGTTCTGAAGCAAAATAGTTATATGGTATAGAATTTCAGCCCTCAGAACATTTGGCTTCAACATGTTAGACTAGTTTGAGAAATCAAGTACTGTCCCCTAGGGCAAGATTCTTTGTGTGGGTGTGTGCGTGTTTGTATCTAGTCCATGCTTAACAAACCTAAAAATTTTCTACGCAAGCTTCTTTGTTTTGCCACGACATTTACAAGTTTACCCCACATTGTTTTCTTTTTTTTCCTTTTTTTTTATTCCTGCTACGAAGGGAGTCAGCCCATCACACCTACCATCCCACACTTTAAGTGAAAGGGAGCATACCTTCCACCCCCGAGCTAGTCAGGTAGAGTCATCCCGTGACTACTTTCATTCACTCATATACCATAGGTGCCATTTATTTATTTGTAGTTTCCAGGAAATGCCATGGCATAGCGGAGTGTCCCTCTACAAATATGCCGAAACATTTATTCACAACTTCATTTTTTTTACAAAGTGGGGTTTTCATCGTTTATGCCAAGACATGCAAGAGTTCTCTTTATAAAAAAAATCAAGTTCCTTAAGCATGAAAAATATACAATCACATATTCAAAGGTTTCAAAGAAGCAAGTCCTAGAGTTAGTTCTATCATCCTCAATAGTCATGTACATTCAATCTTATTCATCAAGAGTTCATCATCATCGGGCATCATTAATTAATTAATTCCAGAAAACCCATTCAACCACTTACTAATGTCATGGCATATTCATTCTACTAATACTATCATGCAATGATTTAAGAACCATACCTCCCCCAAACTTGAGAGAAGCATTGTCCTCAATGCTTAAAAAAACTATTGAAAATTAAACTACATGTTATGACATGTAATACAATGCAAGGTACCTTGACTTTACGCTTGTGGTAGTGCGGCGGTCGTACGACGTGTGCGCTTTTGAAATTGTGTGGAGCTGGACTGTTCATGATTTGATGCTGGTACGGTTGAAATTTGGATGGACCCTAACCTTGCAAAGAAAAATAAAATAGTAAATTAAAAGGAAACTGAATAAAAATAGTAACAAAATAACCATTTATTTATGCACAGGAGTCAAACTAAAATGTCACGGCATCCTTAAGATGTTGGGCCAGTATCAACTTCATGCAAGAGAAGTGTAGTTTTGTCACGCAATGGTGGGACCCCTTGGTAAGCCTTCAGGCGTTGTCCATTGACTTTAAAGATAGACCCATCGTCCATGTTCTTGATATCAATAGCGCCATACTGGTAAACATGGTGGACTTCGAATGGTCCCGACCAACGTGACTTTAATTTGCCCGGGAAGAGTTTGAGCCTAGAGTTAAACAACAACACTTTCTGGCCCACATAAAATGTCGAGGCAAAAGCATTTTGTGATGCCACTTCTTGGTTTTTTCCTTATAGAGCTTGGCATTTTCATATGCTTGTGCACACGAAACTCCTCCATTTCATTCAGATCGAGCAGTCGTTTTTCCCCAGCAAGTTGCGCATCGAAGTTTAGCTTCTTGATTGACCAGTATGCCTTGTGTTCTAGCTTAACTGGTAGGTGACAGGCTTTTCCATATACCATCTTGAAGGGCGATATTCCCAAAGGTGTTTTAAATGTGATAACTCCGTAAAAAGGACACATTTTGGGACCTTTTCACTTAAGTTATTGAATGTCTAAGAGCACATTTAGGACCATTTAGATGCATTTAGGAGCATATAGTTGCATGTGGTGGAATTATGTTTGCCGTGGCATTTTAATTTGTCATCAGTGCTACCTTATGGGGAAGGTGTTTGTCTAATGATGTGCAGGATTTGAGAGCAATGAAAAGAAAAAGAAAAATGTCGTGGCATAAGGAGACTGCTGAGCAGAATGAAAATACCGAGTTGGAATGGCATTTCAAGAGCACACAAAGTGAAAGAATATATTTTCAAAGACAGTTGTTCCCTATTTGCACGTGATCTCTGCCACGCCGCCCTGCTGCAGATCTTGTCTGCTACGGTAGGATCCTGTCGGGTGCCTAGATCAGTGTTGCCACGCCGCCCTGCTGTAGATCTTGTCTGCTGCAGTAAGATCCTGTCGGGTGCTCAGTCAACCACCCAGGCTGGACCATTGCCAGCTGCCCAGCAGGATCACTGTCAGCTCTGCCCGATCATCATGTGAATCAAGCATGATTTGGGGTATCTTTAGAATTTTTACACAAACCTTTAGGGTTTTTCTCCCCCTATAAATATATGATTAAGCCACAATGTTAAAAGACTCTGGTTCCAGCCATATTTGAGCTAAAAAGTTAGAGAGAGAGAGTTTCATCTTTCTCCGTCAATCCTACTTGCCGTGGCATTTCTCCTTGACAAGCTGAAGGGAGTGGCGTTCTGAGCATCCGAGAGGAGCCAGTCCGCTAAGAGCAGCTCGTGGTGGCAGAGGGAAGCATTAGGCAGTGCACGTCGAAGGCTTTTTCTCCTCCCCTCAGTACTTGTTTTCATATTTTGTTGATTGGGTTGTAAGGAACGAATGAATCTTGCTTTGTGCTTGTTGATTTCGAACCCCACCATGAACTAATC